TTAGAAGAAAAGTAGCAGATTAAGTATTTATGGAATTTCCAGCACAGAAAATCATGAACAATTTAACGTAATAATGATGTTTTGAAATATTTAGTTTATTTTTAATATTATTTCTCAAGATTTATCTTTCATCGTAAATATGAATATGTAATTTTACCTATTTTTTGATCTCCACAAAGAGAAAGAATCAATTTTTGGACTAGATCGCCTATAATTTCTGCTTCTGACATGTTCATATTTGACCTTTTCTGACACAATACATAAATATTTATGTATTAATACGATACAAATATAACGTATTAATATTGACTGTTATTCAATTTCGTTGTACGTCGTACCCATGGACCGAAATGCACCTTAAAAGGGGTGCGTCTGCCCTATGGGCTTGACAGCGACGAAACCTGTGCTTGGAGACGTAAGAGGAACAGTGAAAAATTATGATCGACTGGTGGTGCCATCTCGTCGTACATAGTATTGTACACTTTTCAAACTTCACTCCACAGTCTCAGAAACCGTACAGCATTGCATCTTATAAGATGCGATAATTACCATTTCGCGTCGCGCTCAGTGTTACCGATAGTTTACGCAACATAGGCACGTTAGCAAGATGCAAATTATATCCTGCATATGTATTTAATTTCTTCTACGAGTGCTGATTATTATTTGCATTGTATTAACATTCTATTAATATCTCTACACAATTTATTAATGTTTCTCTTAGTGGTTTCAACTTTATTCAATTATACGTACATTTAACTATAATGATTTTTGAGTGCGGAAACAAATACCTTACAAATATTCGAAGAATATAGAAATAGAAAAATAATATATACCAATATATATATAATAATATACCAACTGAATTTCGCGCCGCGTGCTTTAGATGGCCAAGCGAATTGATGCACCGCAAGAGTGGGACCGCAAGCACGGTAAAGTGAGACGGGCTAGGTTTCTCACTCGCGTGGACACTCACACATAGAACCCTCTGCTTTCGTTCTGTCTCTCTTGATCTTCTCCCATTCTCTGTCGGAAAGTTTGCGTGGAGCTGGATGCGCAATAAAATGGTGGGAACAAGAGCACCGGCTTGCAGCTTGCAATTAGAGAGGAAGAAAACGTGTAGACAGTACAGAGCAGTAGGCAGTGGTGGTAGGGTGGCGGGCAGGCACGTGTTTCCAACTGTCTTCAACCATGTTTTCAGTTTCCAACAGCCTGCATTCGAGGGGCGGCCCGCGCGTCGCACTCCCCCAGGAGTCGCCTGCAAGTGAAATTGGAACAATAGTGGGGATATATTGTTCATTCGGCGTGTGTTTGATTTCATGTTTTCTTTGTGATTTTTCCAAAGTTAGTTTTTTCAATTTTATCTTGAACTATGGATTCAGGTAAGACGAATATGTAACACTTATGTATGAATGTAATTTAAAGAAATATAATTTTTTTTGAAAAGTGTTTTAATAATGAGATTTGCATTAACAGAGAGTGCAAGTACGAGCACGAATACTTGGATGTCTGCTCCCGCCAAAAGAGTATATAAGAAAAGCGAGTTCAAGGAAGAGTGGCTTCAACAACCGGAATTTACATTGTGGCTTAAAAAATGCGAGGACATTCATAAAGCTAAGTGTAAGTTTTGCCAAAAAGTTATAACAGCGAAAAGAGGCAGCTTAATAGACCACAAAAAATCAAAAGGGCATATTCAAAACGAAGAAAGTATAAGGGACATGATTATAGAAGAAGCAGGTATAAACCATATTAATTTTATAATTAAAATAATGATTATAAATACAAATAATTAATATGAAAGAAATGTAGACATATAATTGTATGTATTATGTATTAATATATGTAATGTATTATGTAATATATATGTAATGTATTATAACAACATTAAACATTATTTTTAGACTCTGATGTGGAGACAGCATGTAACAATTATGAAGAAATGGCCAGAAGAGCTGAACTAAGATTATGTGTTGATATAATCGAGCATAATCGAAGCTTCAATTCCTTCAATCATTACGCAGATCTGTTAAAAAAATGTTTCCCAGATTCACGGATTGTAAAACATGTTCGTCTAAGTAAAACGAAAATAGATGCTATAATAACTAATGTGCTCAATAAAATGGTAGAGAAAAAGCACACTGAGGTTTTATCGCGTAAATTCTTTTCAATTATGGTTGACAAAAGTACAGATCTTTCTAACGATAAGAATTTATGTTTCTTAATTCGTTATTTTGACGAGGGAATGATCAAAACGTATTTATTAGATTATATGAAAATTTCTGAAAGTACAGCAGAGAATTTATTTAAATGTTTAATATATTCATTGCAAAAGAACAAATTGAATATTAAAAATGTAGTAGGCGTGTGCGCCAACAATGCGAACGGAATGTTGGGGAAACATAATTCATTCGCATCTAAAATCTTAGCAACGAACGATGAAATTGCTATAATTCCGTGCACATGTCATTGCATTCATTTAGTCGCGCATAACGCAACTAAATGCCTGCCAAATGAAAGTATTGAAATTGTACATAAGATATCTACCTATTTTTCCAGAAGTTCGAAGAGGCAAGCTATGCTGCAGGACATGCAAAAAATTTGTAATATTGTACAAAAAAGAATAATTCAGCCAACTCCGACTCGGTGGTTGGCACTGGCAAATTCGGTTAATATCATTTTAAAGCAATGGTCAGGGTTAATAGATTTTTTTGCGGAGGCTAAGTTGTCGGAGAATACACAATTGGTTAGTTACATCTTTAATACAATGAATAACAAATTCACAAAACCATATCTGCAATTTTTAAATTTCGTACTACCAATCATGAATCAATTCAATGTTTTATTTCAAAGCAACGATGTGTTAATACACAAATTATGGTCTGAGTCAACAAGACTTTTAAAATATTTAGCGGATTTGTTTTTAACACAGAAATCTATAACAACGGTGCGGGATTTAAAAACACTTGATATAAAAAATAATGATAATTTACTTCCTCTAGAAGAAATACATACCGATCTTGAAAGTAAAGAAACGCTACAGGCAATGAGGGAGACAAATGAAGCAAGCGAGGATGAAGTCAAACAATTTTACAAAAATCTACAAAAATTTTATCAAACCGCATTCGAAGGTGTAATTGCAAGATTGCCCTTCGATGATAAATTTGTAGATGCTCTAGAATTTCTAGACCCTAAAATTACATTACATATGAATATGCACAAAAGCCAATTGAAGCATATTTTGCATAAATTTCCTTCAAAATTTGATAGCCAAATTGTACATACGGAATGGCATCAAATTCCTTCATATTTTGAACCCCACGAGAAAAGTGAAATAGTAAAATTGAAAGTTTGCGACTTCTGGAAGAAGATTAGCGAAATTAAAAATCCAATAAACGAATATAGATTCCCCAACATTGCCAAACTCGCAGAATTATGTTTAACCATACCCCACTCGAATGCGGAAATTGAGAGATTTTTCTCCATGATAAACGACATTAAAACTGATAAGAGAAATAGATTACAATGTCAAAGTATGAAATCGTTGACTAGAGTCAAATTAGATACGAGCGCTGAAGGAAAAACCTGCATTTCCTGGAAAGCGCCCGAAGAGGCATCGCAATTATTTCGTAGCCAAATGTACGTAAGGGAAACAATACCAGAACATTTAGCTGGTATTATTTTATCGGACGAGGACGCCGAGATCGAGACGGATTCAACATACAACAGATACAGATAACGATTAGGCCCGGCATGTATACAAAATTATACGAATTTATCGTACTTAATTTATTGGGATATTGAAATTAAATGTTTTTAAACATTTTACGTTACTGATGAGATTCATGCGACACTGGCGTAATCCGAGGGGTTGATTAAACGAGTATACTCGTAGGGCATAATTTCTTAGGAGATAGTCCTAAACAACATCCGCCGGGGTAGCGTTTGTAACTGCTTTTTTTCCTCTCGGTAAAAAAATATAATATATATATAATTATTTATATATTATTATATTTATTATATAAATAATATATATATATTATTTATATATATAAATAAAAAATATAATATATAATATAAATAAAATCTTGTAAATATATTCCGTTGCCTGCGTATAATTATTATTTCATAATTTATTGTAATATATTAATAAAACATAGAATAAACATTTGTATCTCAAACATACTTTATATAACGATTGTTCGACGATAAAACGTCAAATTTATTGAATTGCGCGTGCATTGTTTTGTTGTGTGCACGGCGCACTAGCTGACGTTATAAGAAGAAGCGCGCCCGCCGGAGGGTTAAATTCAAATTTCAAGTGTAGTTTCCCAAGTAAGAAATAGGTAGCAGCACTAAGTACCGTAACAAGGTGGTGTAGTCGTATAACGATGCGTAGATTGGTTTTTTACTTCACAACGCATTTCCACCACTTTGGTGTTCGCCTTTCAAATACTCTCCGAGTAGTGGGGTGCAAGAAGTTCTTTTTTGTTCGAGGTGCCCCTCAAGCGCCGGCTGTTGGAAATACAAAACTAAACACACGCTCGGTCAGAGTCAACAAGTGTACACGTGTAGTGATGTAAGATATTATAAAACGATACATATTTCTGTGCTGCAATATTTATGTAGTCACTATCCGACTGTTCTATGTAGGCAGAAGAAAAACTTTCGTTTTTATCGATGTGTTGATGTTGATGTCTCTCGTTACTGTCACGTGCCGGTAATTTGGCGGCATACAGCGCCACAGGCATAACGGTCCCCCTTTAAGCTCTTTGTATATAAGTAAAGTTAACGTTCGTACAATCGAATCGCATTTCGAAGAAAAAAATCGGAAGCAATTTAAACGGACTGTCGTTGAACAACTGTCAAATCCGTCAAAGCTCGAGTTAATTTAATAAATTCAAGGTAAGAGGACGCGCGCATTATTTTGATATTTTTTATCCAGTATTGTTTTCGTGAATTCTAGCATCGTACAATGAACGGTATTAGTAGGAACAACGATTTTAACGAAAAATAATGGCTTCGTTTACAAGGAAGTTATTTTGTTTGTATCTATCGAATTGTAAACAAATTAACAATTAAAGTAACCGATAGCCGCATGGCTGAAGACAGAATGTAAACATTACAGAAAACACCATATTACATTCGCGTTATATTCAATAATTCGAAAATTTCGATTGAGATCTGTTATAAATTTCTATGCTTTTAAAACAGAAATCTTACAGATGGATAATAATTTCGATGGATGGTGTGTTCTGGCATCTGACAGTGATGAGGATATCATTGAGGGAAGATCGTTTGTCATTTCTGACAGCGACGAGGACATCATTGAAGATGTTGACAAAGAAGTTTTTGTAATCGAAAGCAGCGGCAGCAGCAAAAACTGTTCCAGGAGTTTAACTCCAGAGAGGTAAATAAATTTGTTCTGTTCCTGTATTTGTCAAATCGTCCTCTTCTCTATTGCACCGATAATTTCTACATGTTTTGTTTTGAATCTTATTTCAGACGTGCTGCAGCAACAAGAAAATCTCTGTTGACGGAAGATGCCATTAGGCAGAGTATTAAAAAGCATATCCTGTCATATCCTACTAACGAGGAGGAGGATAGCTATGTATATAGTCGTCTTGATTCAACTAGTTGGAGTGAAGAAGATGGTAGGGTAGCATACGTTTAAATATTGAAAAGATGCAATACGCAAACTATATTGTAAACATATGATTCCACAGACGAAGTTGTACAGAATAATGCGATTAATAAAAAGACAAAGACTGAAGAAAGATTTCAAGACAGTGAAAGAATGAGCGTAGATTCAAATTCTGGGGATAGCGAAAACGAATCACACGATATTAGCATGGCAAAGGAACGCAACAGCGATTCCAGTATTCATTCACTCTACATGAATACAGAGGATGAACCTATATCTTTAAATAGTTAGTTCAATATAATTCTTTAGAAGCATGTTATAAAATTACGTATATTCAATCCTGTTTCTTCTTAGGCTCTTCATCGGGTGAGAATGAAATGGAATATGAAGTTGCGATATCTCTAGCAAAACAAGAGATTGGGGTTGGTAATATTGATCCACTGGTCGCACAAAAGAGAGCCTTGTTAGTTTGTAAAATGGAACATTTACAGAAACAATTGAGCAGGTCAAAAGTAAATATGGTGCTTTGCGATGAGAATACAAAAATTGTTTTCGTTTCCATTGTTTGTATTGTGGATTTTTAGTTGTTGTTAGAAGCTGGAGACATCGATCTGTTACCGGACGGAGGTAGGGAATTGCGCGAAAATATCACGAAACAGGAAGAAGAAATCAAGAAGATCACACTAGAATTAGAAAATACTCCGCTCACGCAGAATATTAAAGAAGATGCGCATGCTTTCGAGGAGGAAGTACAGTTTGTCAATGAAGAATTTTCTGATATTATCGATGTGGATAATATACCGATTAAATTTAAATCATCCTCACATGACAAGGAACTGAATAAAAAGGCTCAAGCGGCTCTGGACAAAGAATTAGCGTTGACGACCGACAGATTGCAAGATTTACACGGATCTCTGATAGCCAGGCCGTCCGAGGACGAAAGAGCCGAAGATCCAGAGGGTTTGAACGTCAAGTTGATGCCGCACCAGCAACACGCATTATTGTGGTTGCAGTGGAGGGAAAGACAGAAGCCTGCCGGAGGTGTCCTCGCCGATGACATGGGCTTGGGAAAGACTCTGACGATGATATCATTGATACTTTCTGGTATCACGAATAAGGGACTGAAAGATTCGAACAACTGCAGCGACGACGAATGGGCAGATTCCAAGACACCATTGCATCATAAGGGAGGCACGCTGGTGGTCTGCCCAGCATCGTTGTTGTCGCAATGGGAGAAAGAGATCAGATGCAGATGCAAGCGAGGTATGCTCGCGGTTGAGGTTTATCATGGTAGCAACAGAGAGAACGTTCCTAAAAGATTGGCAAGGAACGACGTGGTGATCACGACATATAATATTCTGTCCCGCGAATTCAAGACCAAAGCCACAACTTATAAGATCTATTGGGAGCGCGTAATACTCGATGAGGCGCATGTGATTCGGAACCATAAGAGCAATGCGGCAGAGGCGGTGCACGGCTTGGTGTCCAAGAAACGATGGGCTCTCACCGGCACTCCTATTCAGAACAAGGAGCTAGACCTGTACTCTATATTGAAGTTTATAAAATGTTCCCCTTTCGACGATATACGGGTCTGGAAGCGATGGGTAGATAATAAAAACACGGCCGGTCGTCGAAGGCTGGCCACCCTGATGGAGACCCTGATGCTTCGTAGAACGAAACAAGGGCTACAGGCGAAAGGCAGTCTAGCCAGCTTGCCCGACAAATGTGTAGAAGAGGTGTTGGTGAAGTTAGATCCGCAGGAGCAGTTGGTGTATGAAAAGGTTCTGATTTATTCTCGCACTCTGTTCGCTCAATTTTTGGCCCAGAGAGCTGACAAGAATCATATGCATGATTTAGCCTCGGGAAGATATAATAAACCATCGTTTCTTTCAAATCCTAGTACGTACGCGAGTGGAAACTAAATATATAATATTTTTGCAGAACTATAAGAATTAAATCTGATTAAATCGCGGTCTCCTTTCAGACAAGAAAACTCAATTCACAAAAGCGCAAAATAGATTACTGTCGATGCATGCCGATATCAAAACGCACGAAATCTTAGTTTTGTTGCTACGTCTGCGTCAAATCTGCGTCCATCCGAGCCTTATTCACTCTATGCTGGATCAAGAGGACATGCAGGATACTGGGCTAACGGATGCCGACTACATAGACCCTAACTTGTTCAAAATTGACGATGTCGCGTTAAACGACGAAGATGACGCGAATACGAGTGGACAAGAGATAGGTGTTGACCGTAGGGTAGCAGCCAATGTGCTTACATCTGAAAACCCAGTGTTTCAGATCGAACGCGTCAGTTCTAAGGTGAACTTCCTATGCGATTCTGATTAATTTCCTGTGGAATTGTTATTCGAATAGAGTGGAATCTCCGTTATACAGGATGTGGCACGCGTTACCGTCACCACAAGCTTTTAGGCACTTTCGATGGTCGGACAAAAAAATATTTCCAATGAAAATTGATCGGTACTTAGTCGGCTACGTAACACTGCGAAGTAAAAAATACAGGGTGCCATTTAAAAAAGTCGAGGTCACCTCGACTTTTAGTCGAAAAGCAATAGTTTCTGAAATTTCTTGTATTTCAATATGTAGCCGACTAAGTACTGATTAATTTTTATTCGAAATATTTTTTTGTCAAACTGTCGAAAGTGCTTGAAAAATCGTGGCGACAGTTACGCGCCGCACCCTGTATAAAATTTATATAAATATTAAATGCCTGTATAAATATTAAATGCAAACTCAGATACCGTAGTAATACGAGTTTGTTTGCGACTAGATGCAAGCGGTACTGAAAACAGTGAAAGAGATTTTGAAGAAAGGCGACAAGTTGATAATTATATCTCAGTGGACCAGCATGTTGAACATAGTGGCAGCTTATTTGCCCTCATTGAAAGGTGCTACGTTCGAGCAGTTCACGGGCGATGTTCCGATAAAAAATAGACAGGTATACCCGATTATAAAACGTCGGTTCTCCGTTATTCAATGACACCCCGTGATTTAATTCGCGTTCGTCGATTCTTTAGGGTATAATGGACGCCTTTAACAACGCGGGTACCGACCCGAAGATATTGTTGTTGTCTCTCACCGCTGGAGGTGTTGGATTGAATTTGGTCGGTGGAAATCATATATTGCTAATAGACATCCATTGGAACCCGCAATTGGAGGTGCAGGCTCAGGACAGAATCTATCGTTTCGGGCAGAAAAAGGATGTTTACATATATAAGTTAGTAGCTAGCATTGCGTCCTGAGAATGTCGAGTGTTCGCAAATAGCACTGATTTCACGCATGCTAATTCTTCTGTAGGTTCATCTGCAAGGACACGATCGAGGAGCGCATCAAGCATCTGCAAGAGAAGAAGCTAGAGATAGCGGCAAACGTTCTCAGCGGTGACAAAAATTCCACTGTCTCGAAGCTGACTCTCAACGATCTCAAATCTCTATTCGATTTATAACGGGGAGTCTTTCTTGTCTAAAATCATCTTTTAATAAATATTTTTATGTAATATAAACTTTTCTATGGCTGGTTGAAGTTGTCGAAAGTGTTATATTAGAAATTTTAAATACGAAGAAAGAGATCTTACGTGAGTCTGGGAATGTCTGTGGTGTACCATGTTCCTTTGTTGGCAACGTTCTCGGTTGGCTATTGACATTTCTGTTGCCTCATGTTACTGTACCGGACACCGTAACAGAAATATATTCCGAGTCCTATGAGAAGAAGCACCTATGTACGTATTGCTCTTAGAGCGAGAGCTATACAAAAAAACTGAGAGTGGACATATTGAAATAGAACTCAAGTGAACTGTGATCATAAATTTAGTCCGAGTGTAATTTTAGATATAATTTAGAAAGATCGGTAATAAAACAGTGAATTGTTAAATAATCTCTCACTGATATTCTGATATTAATTTCATTACATCGTGTATTACAATCATGTTACAAAATTTTATGTCTTACAATTTATCAACAATAACATGAGAATGACCAAAGTACTAACGTCTTTTTTGCAAAAATGACATAAATATTGTATGAAGGAAATGTATGCCGGAAAGGAGGGACAAGTGTGCAGCAATTACAGTGTTCTATAGTAAACGCAAATACAAATGTAACTCTTTTTGTATAAGTAATACATTTAATATATTAATGTGTAATAATTTATGCGTCTGTGATTTTGTTGTAGACAAGATTTATAAAGATTTGTTCTCAGCATTACTGTTACCGAAATAATAAAAAAAAAACGAACATACGTATATCAGTTTATTGAATTTTTATAATAACATTGTAACGCGCCGCAGATTTTATTATAGAGGTAGGTATGGATAATACGATTGATAACTTAGACAACTGGTGTGTTAACTTGAGAATGTGGAAGTTGGACGGAATTATGCGAGGCGGGCAGCGATAGTAAATGTCCGCGTTCCATTTCATTGACCTCTTGTTGTTCGGCTCCTCTCATAGATCCAGTTGAGCGTGCAAGGCTATTGCGTTGTCTGCACATGTATGGTGTTTCTCCAGGCGAAGGAGTTTCACGACCCTGCATAAGAACACAAATAAGTTATAAACATACTCGGTACAATAATTCATCGATTTAAGCGAATACAGCGTTTTAGAATACTTAAAATTTAACCCTCGGTAATATAGGACGTATCTGAACAACTAATTGCTCACGAGCATAGAGGAATATATTTTCTTATACTACTTAAAATTCAAGGCTATCGTTCGTTCAGTAGCAGCGTTGACAGATAGAATACAAAAAGATGGAGGAGCATTGCGGCAATGTGGTTAGGGAAATAAGTTACGCAAAGAGTGGGGATAGGTGATGCATGCGCCGAGAGTCCCGCATAGCGGCGTGGCACATCTACCGGGTGAACCTATCTTGCGTAACTTATATTCCTGATCGCACTGATTACAAGTTGACTTTGGAAGGGTTTTGTTTAGCAACGCAATCAACGGGAGGGGAAACCGATTCGCGCACAATGTTTCGTATTCGCATAACCTCGCGTCGGTTCCCTCACCCGTTGATTGCGTTGCCGAACAAACCCCTTCCCATGTTAACTCGCAATGCTCACTCACCTTTTTGCATCTTGCCTATCGACACTGTTCGGTAGTATAGTACGATATACAGAGTGTCCCAAAAATGTCTCGCAATCCGGAAATGGCGGGTTCCTCGGATCATTTGAAGCAACTTCTTCCTTTATAAAAATGTTCTCCGAGGCACCGTTAACGAGTTATTAACGAAANCACAAATAAGTTATAAACATACTCGGTACAATAATTCATCGATTTAAGCGAATACAGCGTTTTAGAATACTTAAAATTTAACCCTCGGTAATATAGGACGTATCTGAACAACTAATTGCTCACGAGCATAGAGGAATATATTTTCTTATACTACTTAAAATTCAAGGCTATCGTTCGTTCAGTAGCAGCGTTGACAGATAGAATACAAAAAGATGGAGGAGCATTGCGGCAATGTGGTTAGGGAAATAAGTTACGCAAAGAGTGGGGATAGGTGATGCATGCGCCGAGAGTCCCGCATAGCGGCGTGGCACATCTACCGGGTGAACCTATCTTGCGTAACTTATATTCCTGATCGCACTGATTACAAGTTGACTTTGGAAGGGTTTTGTTTAGCAACGCAATCAACGGGAGGGGAAACCGATTCGCGCACAATGTTTCGTATTCGCATAACCTCGCGTCGGTTCCCTCACCCGTTGATTGCGTTGCCGAACAAACCCCTTCCCATGTTAACTCGCAATGCTCACTCACCTTTTTGCATCTTGCCTATCGACACTGTTCGGTAGTATAGTACGATATACAGAGTGTCCCAAAAATGTCTCGCAATCCGGAAATGGCGGGTTCCTCGGATCATTTGAAGCAACTTCTTCCTTTATAAAAATGTTCTCCGAGGCACCGTTAACGAGTTATTAACGAAAAACAGTGACCAATAAGAATCGAATACGGCTGACGCGAGGCGGCCCAGACAACCAACGCACGAAGCCCAGTTCCGCTCATTAACTCGGTCGCCTCGCGCCAACCGAGCTCGCCTCTCATTGGTCACTGTTTTTCATTAATAACTCGTTAACGGTGCATCGGAGAAAATTTTTGTAAAGGAAGAAGTTGCTCCAAACGACCCGAGGAATCCGCCACTGTCGGATTGCGAGACATTTTTGGCACACCCTGTATTTTTCTTCTACGGTTAGTGAATCGGCATGGTAGATGGTATGTAGTAGTGCGACTGGCGGTTCGAGCAGCTGGTTCTGCATGGTAGTATATTAAATGTTTATATTTCATAATATAGTACAACGCAATCATTATACACTAATTAGCATCATTCTCGTATGAAAGTAAATCTAATGAAAAAGATTATTTTTAATAACATACGATTTTAATTATTTTAGCGACATATCAGAATTTGTGTTACGTCTTTCTATTGTACCTTAGTTTTGTATTTCATTGTTTGTTTAATGCTTCGTTTTAGAGGAAAGTTCACGTGGCGTGTAAAAGAAGAAAATCGTTAAATAAATGTAAAGAGAGATAAACAGGATGTAAAAAGTAAACAAGAGAAAGAGACAAAATCAAACGTAACTACAAGATGTGGAAACACGGAAGAAAGGAGTAGAAGTTGAGAGGCGCATTAATTAATTATACAATGGATTGATATCGATCTGTCGTGTACAGTCAGCCTCCGCAGGTCGAGGCTAAATAAGTTACCTATGACTGTATTTGAATCTGATTTAATAGCTTCTATGCACCGACCAAGACATTTCGGTTTAGGACAACAGGGAGAACGGGCTGTTGATTCTCTCTTCAAGGAATGCTGCAGGAGGGACAGGATTGGAGTTAAATTATAAACACATGTATTACAATTGAAAACACATACCTGTTTAGAGGGACCACAACATGTTGCATGATTGCAAGGTTTGTCAGTTTTTGGACAGTCTAATACACAATCTTCGGTTGGTGTTTCCTTAATTTCACTATTAGATTGGTACTGGAATGTTGTAAATATCTCTAGTTAGTCATCGTTTATTTAAACGACGATAATAAAAAAGATTCCAAAAACACGTATCCCCAATTTTGACCCGTAGATTAGACATAACAGTTTACATAAAAATGGATGAACAATTAATAAGAACAATTGAAGAGAAACTTATTTTTAAATATTATTCAAACAAATAACTTTTTAGGAACTTTGATCAAGCGATTAAATTCGTCGCAAATATATGCTTAATTTTGAGTAAAAAAGACCATCGAGTAAAAACCATTTTTTCACCCCGTAGATGTGGATTATTGCAGATATAAAAAGCTATGTTTGGATCATAAGCTGTACAACAACTTTGTATCATGTACCGATGACAACTGCAGTTTTAATATAAATAAATTTACTTACATCAATAAATTCTGGTTGTATCGTAGTAGAATGTATGCCTTCGTTGTGAAAAAATTCTTTAACTTGCTCCGCAATTTTCATATATTCTGATAGATTTCTGCACCGGATGTGTGCTGAAGCAATTATACGGTCGCCAGCCAACTGCCATACATGGAACTCGTGTACAGCCAAAACGCCATCAACATTTTCGAGTAAACGTTGTTGAATAGCATCAACCTAGAATAACAAACTCCAATAGTATATAATTACATTTATATCAAGATGCGACGATATTGTAAATTTAGCTTTGTTCTCAAATTATTAACGATTAACAACTTCTTTCATTCATCGGCAGTTCTTAAGAGAATTGATCGACGCAAGTTCGACGGGCTTGATACTTTAATTTTTCAAGATAATTTAAAATATACTTTGTAAAAAAATTGTAAGATGCGCAAACTGCATTTTGAAATTTTCATCTACACCTAGTAGTTTTGGAAATATTTGATAAAATGTTCAAATTCTCTTACACAGCTAGTTAATAATGTAATGAATAATGTAAAAAGCCGTGTGAGAAGTATTTGTTTTGTATGTTCGAGAAAAAGTTAAATAAAAGTGGTAATAAGCACGTGAAAGTGTACTCTGCAATAATATTAATGTACTTTCGTAAACAAAATTGTACTATATGACAGTAGTGCTTGCTGAACAATGTAAAATTTTCCATTAAAAATTTTTGTCTATTTTGTACAGGGAGAAAGTTATGGTCTGATCCAGTTATTAGTTGAAACTGAGAACAATATGAAACTTGTTCTTTTGATTCTTTAAGCTTTGTGTGAACACGTATTCAACTCCTAACAAAAGTTTATAGTAAATATATAGTAAATATTTTCGAACAATAACATCTGTAATCCAAAAATACCGATCTGTGCACGAAAGGTGATATCACTTGCTAAACAATAACTCTAATATAAATCGGATTGTTATTATTTTCGAATCTAAAACCATCTTCTAAAGGAGATTTACAACCAGCATTGCAACATCGTAGAGTTAATTGCGAGAAAAATGTTATGTTTTGTTGAAATAGTAAAACGGTACTAAAATATTTAATTAGCCTCAGAATTTTTTTAAATACTTCACCTGCAGAGAAGCTACTTACATTATGTAATATCTCCTACCATAGCAAATAAGCTCTGAAAAAATAGTTATTTTATAACTCCCGCATGTTTCAAGATATTCTAACATTTTTAGTTACAGAATATTGTAATATAAAACTATTGTACGTATGGCAACCCTATATTTGTGAAAATGTATAAACTCTGTAAAAGTAAAATGTATATACTCTGTACATGAGTGAAGAAAATATTACGAGATAGCATAGAGTGGACTTACAATATGGCACATGAATCGAATTTATGATACGGAGATATTACAATTTCTCTTGTGAAATTTTGGCATTTGTTTAATCTCAATCACTTCGAAGTGTATCGTATAGATATTACATTGCTTGAAATAATGTTACCTGAATATGTGTTGGTACAGTTTGCAAAAGAATCAAGGCGGATTCTTGCAGCAACGGCCACACTGACCGCAGAATGAGAATAACTAACAAAAGTGAAAGAGCTGGATCAATGTAAAATCTGCAAATAATAAAAATGTTATATAAATACTAAATGAAATGATGTTCACAAACTACATAATATAGATAAATAATCATTTGAAAAAGAAAATGATTGTAATACATATACAGAGTGCCCGAGAAATATGGGGTATCCTGGAACATGCGTAATCTTCATGCAAAAATACAAACTAGAAATTTTTTTACCATTTTTAAAGCGGAAGCTCTGTTTCTGAAATATTAAAAGTTGAAAATTGGAAGCTGTACTTCCATATTATATAATTTAGATACCGGTCAACTAACAAGTTGTAAGACATATACATATACACTACCGTCCATAAGTATTTGGACACTCCTGTATTTGTACCAATATTTATAATACTTCCTGTGGCGGTTCAAATGTACATAGTTATATCAAAGAGGGACAGTGTATTATTATACAATGTGATCTTAAATGTAATTCTTTGACTGCAACTAACTCTTAAAACAAATTATTTAGCGAACAGATCTTTGGGAGCCATTTTTTAATATGAACTCCCGTTGCAGTTAAAGAACTTTATAATCAAAATGTTTTAATATTTTACACAGAATATAAACATAACGTGTAAAGCGAATATAGCTTAAAATCTTTCAGAATGACCTTTTTTATTTTCTCATCCAATTTTAGATATTACATTTCTGTAATATCGCTATTCTTTAATGCATTTTATTACCATATTAAGTTGTTCGGAAAGTAATTTCGCCGTATTTCCCCGAAAAATGAAAAATTACTTTCCGAACAACTCAATAATAAACACATACGAACTAAGAAATTCTTGATTAGATTTCACTAACTGTCCAAATACCTATGGACGTGCTCGTATCATTAAAAAACAGGGTTTTATACCTCGTGTGGTGAATCTCACCCCCAATTCAAGCATTTTGTTACAGTTATTGTTAAAGTTATTTTCTCCTGCTCTTGTTACAACAACACTGTGCATACATGTTCATGCGTGAAAGATCATCTAACTTGTCAAGTAGATTTTGCACACAGGTGAAGTATTGAAAAATATTCCACTCATACTTCTCGTATAATTGTTAGGTCAAGTTGGAATTGAAATACGAGGCTGTAATATGTTCTGTGTCAAGTATTACGAACACTGGCCTCGATAGAAGTAAATGTTGCTCGCGGAAAGTTCGTACGAAATAAAATAACATAAATACAATCTTTGAAACTAATTAGTAGGTTTTCTTCAAAATGTGATGCAAATTATAAATTGAAACGAACGTTACAATGTAGGATGATGTAGTGGATTTCTTCATCTTTCGGTGTGTCAAAGAACGAAGAGAGCGATATATATATGGTGTCCCAAAAATGTCTCGCAATCCGAAAGCAGGGGATTCCTGAGGTCATTCGAAGCAACTTTTTCCTTAGCGAAAATGCGATCCGCGGCTTCGTTTACGAGTTACTAATGAAAAACAGTGACCAATCAGAGGCGAGATCATTTGGCGCGAGACGGCCGAGCCAATGAGCGGAACTGGGCTCCGTGCGCTCGTTGGCTGGGCCGTCGCGCGCCAGCCGAGCTCGCCTCTTATTGGTCAGAGTTTTTCGTTAATAACTCGTAAACGAAGCCTCGGAGAAAATTTTCGCAAAGGAAAAAGTTGCTTCANAGATATTACATTTCTGTAATATCGCTATTCTTTAATGCATTTTATTACCATATTAAGTTGTTCGGAAAGTAATTTCGCCGTATTTCCCCGAAAAATGAAAAATTACTTTCCGAACAACTCAATAATAAACACATACGAACTAAGAAATTCTTGATTAGATTTCACTAACTGTCCAAATACCTATGGACGTGCTCGTATCATTAAAAAACAGGGTTTTATACCTCGTGTGGTGAATCTCACCCCCAATTCAAGCATTTTGTTACAGTTATTGTTAAAGTTATTTTCTCCTGCTCTTGTTACAACAACACTGTGCATACATGTTCATGCGTGAAAGATCATCTAACTTGTCAAGTAGATTTTGCACACAGGTGAAGTATTGAAAAATATTCCACTCATACTTCTCGTATAATTGTTAGGTCAAGTTGGAATTGAAATACGAGGCTGTAATATGTTCTGTGTCAAGTATTACGAACACTGGCCTCGATAGAAGTAAATGTTGCTCGCGGAAAGTTCGTACGAAATAAAATAACATAAATACAATCTTTGAAACTAATTAGTAGGTTTTCTTCAAAATGTGATGCAAATTATAAATTGAAACGAACGTTACAATGTAGGATGATGTAGTGGATTTCTTCATCTTTCGGTGTGTCAAAGAACGAAGAGAGCGATATATATATGGTGTCCCAAAAATGTCTCGCAATCCGAAAGCAGGGGATTCCTGAGGTCATTCGAAGCAACTTTTTCCTTAGCGAAAATGCGATCCGCGGCTTCGTTTACGAGTTACTAATGAAAAACAGTGACCAATCAGAGGCGAGATCATTTGGCGCGAGACGGCCGAGCCAATGAGCGGAACTGGGCTCCGTGCGCTCGTTGGCTGGGCCGTCGCGCGCCAGCCGAGCTCGCCTCTTATTGGTCAGAGTTTTTCGTTAATAACTCGTAAACGAAGCCTCGGAGAAAATTTTCGCAAAGGAAAAAGTTGCTTCAAATGACCTCAGGAACCTCCCATTTTCGGATTGCGAGACATTTTCGGAACAAAACAGTTTTATATTATTGCGTGTACTTAAGTGCCTCGTTTCTTATAATTCGCGATATTGTTATTTTTTCATGGAGATCTGTGTGGTATCTTGTCTCATGAAATGGTAAGAATAGAAATTCATATGACGCTAAAGAAGTCATCGAAACGTGATGTTATAAAGGAAACATTGTAAAGATATCAATCACCATGTTATGAATATGAATCGGTACATTTTTCAGCAATGTTTAAAGATGAATTGTCTTGGCATACTGATAAACCGTAAAAAAAAACCTGACGTTGTGTTTAAATTCTTGTTTTAATTCTATATGCAATAGATGAAAATTTCATTAACATGCAGCTGCAAGTTATTTTAAATAGATTGATTTCTGTTTACAGTTGTTGTCCCGGAAAATAGCGATTCTTTAGATATTTTTTTGTACGAGAGACCAAACTCTGGAAAATCTGAACAATTATAGTTACATATAAAAAGTCGTGGAAGCTCGAACCTATAGAGAGAATTCTAAATCCTGATTTTTAAACCAAACCGCATTATCGCATTTCAAACCGTGTCGATGCATCGCAATATTTTCTTATGTTATTAATGATATTTTCAATTAAAAATATCAACCATAAAATTAACGATCGACGAACTTAACATTAATAATATCTGTAAGTATATAACAAAAATTGATTACCTGTACTTCCATTCTGTCAACCAAACAATTAAAGCGGATACGATTACAATAACAGATCCTAAGGCATCGGAAAGTACATGAAGAAATACACCACGCATATTCATTTGACTGGCGTCATGCGTATGACCATGTGTCCTTTTCACCTGAGGCGTGGAAGGTCTGTAAGCTTCGTCATTTTCGTTGTCGTCGGTTCCAACGAAAGAGCTAAGCCTGTTATGACTTCGAGATATACCGTGTGAATGTGCATGAGTGTGGCCATGTTCTGGAAAAAACAAGAAAATAAAAATATTTGAATATTCTACAGAAATGCAAACACGAAGATAACACAAAATTCAAAAGTTTAAAACCAGACGAAACAAATATTTGTTCACACAATATTATTTTACAATCTCCTCTGAACCGTTGAACGCGTGAATATTGAAAATTTCGAAACGAACTTTTTTCCGATAAAAAATTAAGGTCACTTTTTCTCCACTGAACAGCGCCATATATATATTTATTTTGCACTACATATATGTAGAGCTTCGCTATATGTAGAGAATTTTCGTTACAAGCTCGAATAAAAAAATTGGAAATACTTATATATACTTCCTCACTTATTACTTTTTTTTGCAAATATTTGTTTATTCACTGTACAGTAAACTAGACAGTCTGAAATCTCAAATATCACTGTATAAAACGAAAAACATAAAAATTGATGAACTTTTTACAACGACCTTTATCATTTTATTTACCGGCAATTTTCTAATAGTTCTTTTAAAATCAAAGATTAACGGTTACGAATTTCTTTTTAAATTGTTCACAAACTACAATAATCTCGTTTATAAACCATCAAATTATTTGTATTAAATCTCGGTCAACACTGGCCAAATCTGGCCTAGACAACTGCACGCGCTTTTATACCCCAGACTTTGGCGACTTTGATAAGAACAACTGCAGTTCAAAAGTTAATGTTTCTTTGGTGACGTAAGCATTAAACTTTCTGAAAGGGAAAGATAAACGTTCGCTACGAATGTAACAAAAAATAAAGATTGTAAGGCTGTAATATTTTCGTTGTAGCTAAGGATTAATATAATGTGATAAGTTTTTTTGAAATCACTATTTAGGAGAAAGTTATCGAGCTTCTGTTAGGCTTGCTATCGGTAGGCTTCCGTTAAATAAAATGTTAACACTATGCCGTCCGGTGGCACCACGCTGGTGCCATTTTAAAAAAACTGAGATAACATTTGAACTATATTTTTTGGCTGTTAAAAGGCAGCAAACTAACTATAGCATTGTGCTTATTTAACTAAGAATTAAGTACGAAAATTCTTGGACGACTTATCTTAATTTTAGGAATTTATATTACCGCCATCTTCGACATTTTTTTTTAAATCTAAAATTTCCAAGCTATTGTGCCGGCGTCGAACAAAAGAATCGTATCTAAGATCTGTGGACGGCATAGTGTTAACAAGAATATGCAAGACTGTTCACGAACGTGAACAGTAGGTCGAGACGTTTAAAGGTGATTTTCATGGTATTTTGACATAATTCGTTTCTTTTTAAACGAGACCTCCTATTTTTCTTTATACATATTCTGATACTGTTTTCTGTAACGAGTTCAGTGATTACGGCACCGGTTCGTCCGATGTCACGGCAGATAATCACAGTAACATCTTCTTTTCCATGTCAGAGAAAACTAACAGTGTAACAACAGTGTAACGAACAGATGACAATCTTTGTGTACTTACCATGAAATAAACACAGCCCAATAACATTCACTAGTAACCCAAGTAAACCGACTGCTACAAGTAATTTAGCTTCATGTATTTCTTCTACTTCAATAAATCTCTTACATGCTTCGACGGTAATACTAAAACACAATGCGACTAAAAAGACAGCATTTACCAAAGCACCTAAAACTTCGGCTCTGGCCCAGCCAAATGTATTTTTAGACCATTTCTTTGGCGACATCTGTAAAACGCGTAAGAACTGGAATTATTACGAAAGCCATAAAACACGATTTTCTTCGATATGCATGTAAACCAGGGGTGTCAAACTCGCGGCCCGAGATGAACATTTTCGATGCCAAGTATCAGGACGTAAACAATAATTTAACTTTATATATGTTTATTGCAATGTACTAGTCAAAATAAAAATATTTGTTTCTATGAACATTGATTTCTTTTTTCTTTGCGGCCCACCTAAAGTTAAGCATCGTTTATTTGGCCCAAGTTATAGCTTTCGAGTTTGACACCCCTGATGTAAACGATATTAATCAGTTAGCTGTGGCGCCTCCTTTTCAAGAACGCGCACCCTATATGTGTTGCGAGAATCGAGCGACGACGAGTATACTCGTCGAACACAATGTAAGCGTCGCTGTTAAAATATCGGATCAAAAATACGGTTTTATTTGATAAGATTAACAATTTTATTACTAATATTTACTTATTCGTTTAACATTGGCATACACTGCATAGATAATAAACGAAAAACGCGGGAAAAATCAAACAATTATAAAAGTTAAAAATTCAAATTGCTGCTGTAGAGTGGTATTCAGCGAAGTAAGGAACGATGCATAAATGGCACTTTACGCGTCGAACGCTAATATTTAATAATATAATAATATAATCAATAATATAATAATAATATAATATAATCAACGCTAATATTTAATAATATAATAATGTATATATAATAATGTAATCATTTTCGTGTGTAGAATTGGTATAAAAATATTCTAAACATCTTGAAATTTGAGAATGTATTTCTGTTATCGCTAACGTTACAATTTAAATAGCCAATGGTACGCGCGACGAGTATACTCGTCGTGACACAAAATAGTGCCACTTCTCCGTGACGAGTATAATCGTCGAACACAGCTAACTGGTTAATCGCGGTAAACATTTCGCGTGTTAACACTATGAACAGCAGCACTCAACGCTCGATGTTCTCGGCTTTGTTGTCTCAAGTGAAACACAAATGTCCGATTTCGATTTTAACTGACAGTATACAGGTTCATAATGATACAGTATATATGTATATATGAAATAGTAGCCGTAGTCGCTTAATATTTTTGAATCTTTTTACTTTTATCTTGTTATAAACAATTAAAGTTACATCCCTCTTCAGTCTCAGTGTCCATATACAGGGTGTCCCAAAAATGTCTCGCAATCCGAAAGTGGCAGGTTCCTCGGGTCGTTTGAAGCAACTTCTTCCTTTACAAAAAATTTCTCCGAGGCACCGTTAACGAGTTATTAACGAAAAACAGTGACCAATGAGAGGCAAGCTCGGCTGGCGCGAGGCGACCGAGCCGACCCGTTATTGGTCACTGTTTTTCGTTGATAACTCGTTAACGGTGTCTCGGAGAAAAATTTTATAAAGGAAGAAGCTGCTTCAAACGATCCGAGGAACCCGTCATTTCCGAATTACGAGACATTTTTAAGACACCTTGTATGTAAATCCTGAGTTAGATTCAAATACTTTCGTGCTAGAAAATGAAACTTTTCGTTCAACTAAGCGTCATTTTTGTGTTATTTCAGGTTTTTCTTTTTAAGTCGATTTTGGTACAGGCTATAACTGCATCCGCACAGATTAAGAAAACGTTTGGTTTTGTCTTATTTTTAGACGACAATGGAAACTTGCGCACAATTATGGCCACCATAAATACCAAAACTTTTCTGCTTGAAAATAATTCAGCGCGCTATTCGAATAAACCCACGCAATTTCATGCTAATAAATTAGATAGTTTCCTTTAAAAGAAAAATTTAATAGAACTGCCGAATTCGATGGTCGTTATGCTTGTTTGCGTGGTACAGCAAATTCTCCCTAATTTTCCGCCAGTTTCTAAACGAAAATGGACAATTTGGGAAGAGGAGATACGATTGTACGAGCCACGCGGCCCGTTTTTATAATTGCTGAAAATCGGCAACTATAAAAACGGCTCGCATGGCTCGAACAATCGTATCTCCTCTCTCCAAATTGTCCATTTTCGTCTGGAAGCGCTGAAGGAAAATTGGGGAGAATTTACTGTACTTCGAAACGACCGCGTATCGATGGCAAAAGGCGAACGGAATTAGCTTTAGTAAAAGAAATGTCTTACCTTTACGGAAAGAAATGCAACGACCAATGCTGCTACATCCGACAGCATGTGAAAACTGTCAGCAATTAAAGCCATCGAGTTTGTTACATAACCTACTACTATTTCTACTAAGAAGAATAGAGCAGTCAGCCACAACATTGTCAAAAGGCGACACTTTTTCCCTGTGAAGCGTCCCATAGTGTTTGTTTGTACCTAAAAATAATTGCAATATCATGTGTAAAAGGAAAACGAAATCATAAGAAAACGGTGCAAACTGTAAGGTATCGTAAGAGACCTTGAGAGACACACCGCTATCAAAAGTTGGAAGGTTTTTCCGATGGATGCACATTTACGAAATACAGTAAATCCTTCCTAATTTTCCTTCGGCGCTTGTAAACGAAAATGGAGACAATTTGGGAAGAAGAGATACGATTATTCGAGCCTCGCTGCTCATTTTTACAGTCGCCGATTATCAACAATTATAAAATCGAGGTGCAAGGCTCACGAATAATCGTGTCTCCTTTTCTCAAATTGTTCGCTTTTGTTTGCAAGCCGAAGGAAAATTAGGGAGAGAGAGAATTCACTGTATCTTCTCTTTACAAGGAAATTTTACAAATAACTACGAAGAGATTTTGTAAAGAAATAATCGAATACACAGGGATATAATATTTTTGACAACAACGCCTGTTGACTTTACCAAGGCCATTTTCCATCGATGATATTTAGACTTTTTTCATAAATGTAACAGCAACCATAGACACCGTTTAGCGATCATAATTCAACAGTTCTAATTGTTGTTAATATTGCCAATAATATTACCATTGCCGTAAATTCTCCCTGCCTTCTCGCCAGCTTGTAAACAAAAATGGACAATTTGGGAAGAGGAGATACGATTATTATTCGAGAGCCTTGCGCCCCTCGTTTTTATAATTACCGATTCTCAACAATTATAAAAACGAGTCGCAAGACTCGAATAATCGTATCTGCTCTTCCCAAATTGTCCATTCCTGTGCACAACCTGAGCGTCAGTAAGGGAGACATTACTGTAATTAGAGGTTTGAACGGCGAATTAGACTCGTCATCATCGCAGCTTAGGCAAAACAAGTGCATGACGAGTCTCGGTCGTCGAATGTACCCAAGAGGTTAATGCGTTCCTTTCACTCCTCAATGGTATTAAACTCTTGATTATCAGCTTAAGAGCCCGTGAGAATCCCGACCAACAGTTCTCCATAACAAATAAATTAAAGGGTCCCGCGAATTAAGCAAGCACATATTTTCGGACGCGAAGAATACTTTCATTGTCGACCGTTTACAAACGAATGCATTATCCCATTGAAATAGAGAATTCGGCCCTCCAATACAAATCGCGAGCCTCTTAATCGACTTAATTAGCGTTCTCATACGTCGCTACATCTCCATTTAACGATCAATAAATCGTACACCTGTTCGTCCGCTGCAGTTGCCTCTCTGATCCAAACCTTGCCACGATCATCGTTTCGTTCGAACATTATGGAAACGACGACGATATTTATTGTTCGACGTATGTTTGCTTCCGCGAGTTGTTTCCTCGACATCCGATCTACCTACGCGTAATACAGTAATGTCTCTCTAATTGACGCTCCGATTGTCCACAGAAATGGACAATCTGGGAAGAGAAGATACGATTATTCGAGCGGTTTATTTTTATAGTTATATATTGTCCACAATTATAGAAGCGAGCCGTGAGGCTCAAATAATTGTACCTCGTCTTTCCAAATTGTCAATTTTTGTTTCCAAGCTCGGGATTTCAAGCTCAGGATTCCAAGCTGAGGATTCCAAGCTCAGAATTCCAAGCTGAGGATTCCAAGCTCAGAATTCCAAGCTGAGAATTCCAAGCTCAGAATTCCAAGCTAAGGAAAAAGTTACTGCATATGACCTCGGAAACCCCCATTTTCAGATTGCGAGGCATTTTTGGAACACTCTGTATAAAAACGAGCCGCAAGGCTCGAATAATCGTGTCTTCTCTTCTCAAATTGTCCATTTTTGTGCACAATCTGAGCGTCATTTGGGGAGACATTACTGTACGAAGAGAAATCTAATTTTCTACGCGATAATCCAAAACGAAATTATTAGACAATGTTACCGGAGGCAACTGGTCGCATCGAAACAGTTAACCGTACAATTTACTAAGAAATCTTTAACCGTAAATCGTACACTTGCGGAAATTGTAAAACCATCGCCTGCAGATAACGTGTTCTGCGCGTATTTTTCTAAACGTCGTAGATCGACGAATGAAAAACGGGTGCTTTTGGTACCGAGAAGAGAAACGAAAAGTTTACAGTTATGTATAATCCGGTCTTAAGATTTGTAAATGAGATTATAAAAGTATATAATACAATTAAAAGATTTTGAAATCAATTTATTATTAAAATCATAAACTTTCATAAAAGTATATATCATATTTGTCGTTATAAACTCGAACAGACTGAACTTCGATGGGATAATTCGAATATAAAAGAGTTTTAGAACACCATTGACGACGATAAATTTTAAGTTTCCAGTTTCAGTTTTATTAATTAAATTCGATCGCTTTCGTGGGAATCGTTCGAGTCGATTTTCGACGCTTCGACGCGAGAATTATGTTATGCGAGAATTAAAAATCGTAAATTGTCATGAAAATCCATATTTATATTCTAATGAACTCGAACAGCCTTTACTTAGAACACCATTGACCGCGATAAATTTTAATTTTCTAGTTTCAGTTTCATTAATTAAATTCAATCGCTTTCGTGGCAATCGTCGGAGTCGATTTTCAATGTTTCAACTCGTTATGCGAGAATTTCGTGTCGATGTGCTCCTTGGCTTGTCGAAACGTTCTCTGGCAAGGTGTCGCTCGATTCTTTGATCCAGACCACTGTGCGTCGTCGTTCGCGCGATCGTTCGAACCGTCGCGCATCGCGTCGCGACCGTATTGCGACGATTAACGCATTGAAAGCCAGGAAACGTCGGCTGTAATCTCAGCTGCGTGATTTATAAACTGTGGGAGCCGGTTGAATTTTCCCACTGCACATGGGAAACCAATAGGCGAGTTAACGATGGTGTTCGTTCACGTTGTTATCCCGCGGCAACCGTGGACCGGTCGAAAAATCGTTTATCGTTCGGCAATAAACGGCGTATTCGAGATAGTAATTGTTAAAAATTGACAGTTCAACGTTCGATCAGCGTTGCGACAGCCTGTTGCAACGGCTCGAAACTGGAGCATTGCCCTGTATTTTTTGTATGCCGCGCGCGCGTACGCGTGGCTTGCCAATTAGTCGACCAGGGTTCGAACAACCCACGACAGAAGTCGGACCGACGATTTTTCGCTGTCGGTACCGCGAAAACTAAGTCGCAATTTGCATAATTACGAGGGACGACGAGAACGCCCGCGTCAAAAATATGCGTATCTGCTCGGGCCCCGGGATTTTTAAGGGACTCCGTGCTAGAAGTGCGACCATCGATATGTGTTCGATAAATATCGGTAGTATTTATACGTTATCGATAATTGGATACGTCGATAACATCGTTAACGCTTTATCTGCCGATAATTTTCTAATGGTTTTATTAACACTTAACCGACCGAATGGGGAGATCTTCCCGTTTTAAATTCAGTCGATCGATGACCGATTGAGGAAATCTTCCACGTCTAATTAAAAATGACTGCTTAATTTTATTAAGATTTGCAAGATGTACGAATGTTGAAGAAGTATTTGATGCAATATATGTTTGCTTCGTAGTTTTTGTTTAATTGAGTCAAATACTTTAATTTTGTGAAATTTTTGAGGTTTCTGACGCGGTCGTGGAAGTGTTAAAATCGAAGACCAACGATCGAGAATTCCTTGATACAGTAAATTCTCCACAATTTTCCCTCGGATTGCAAACAAAAATGGACAATTCGGAAAGAAGAGATACGATTATTCGAGCCTTGCGTCTCGTTTTTATAGTTTTTTACAATCAGTAACTGCAGAGTGTCCCAAAAATGTCTCGCGATCCGGAAATCAGAGGTTCCTGAGATCATTTGAAGCAAATTTTTCATTAGCGAAAATGCAATCCGCGGCATCGTTCGCGAGTTATCGACGAAAAAACAATGACCAATGAGAGGCGAGATCGGTAGGCGCGAAACGGCCGAGCCAATGAGCGGAACTGGGCTTCGTGCGCCGATTGGCTGGGCCGTCTCGCGCCAGCTGATCACGCCTCCCGTCGGTTTTCGATAATAACTCGTAAACAAAGCCGCGGACTGCATTTTCGCTAAGGAATAGTTACTGCAAATGACCTCGGAAACCCCCATTTTCAGATTACGAGGTATTTTTGAGACACCCTGTATAAAAACGAGCCGCGAGGCCCGGATAATCGTATCTCCTCTTTCCAAATTGTCCATTTTTGTTTACAAGCTGAAGGAAAATTGGGGAGAATTTACCGTGTATCGTCGAGTAGCAATAAGATATCGATAAAATATCAATAATCGATGATCGAATAAAATATCGATAATAGTGTGACCGTTCGTTCCATAAAAATGTTTTGTTATGTTACTTCGTGTTCGAAAGTAAACAATGGTTAATCCTACGATAGCAGACGATATACATCATTTCGTGTTAGAAAGAAGTGACAGGAATACAAAGGAGTCTGCCAAGAAGTTGAGTTATCGTTCGCGAGTGTCGATATTGATTTAACATTCGGTTGCGAAATGTTGAACTTCGATGATTTATCTTTGCCTCGCGATCGTTGGGAATGGATTTTCGCGAAGGCAAAAGAATTGGTGTTTCAGGAATTCGATTTGATTCGACGTTCCACGTGTATCTCTGAATCGACGTACGATAGAATTCGTTAAGTAAATGCTAGAAATTCGTGGAATATTTGAAGTTTTTTTTTAAAACGACCGAATAGCTCGAACAAAATCTATTTTCGCTCCGTATCAATCTCATGCAACGTCGTAACCAACTCTACCGTGTGCAAAAGGAGATGTATGTGCTAATGAACATGTAGATAAAAGTTCGCATTCGCAGAGTAATTGTGTCCGATGCGATACAACAGCGCGTAACACAGCACATGCCCGAGATCTAATTTAACGGAAGCTTATTTTGCGACTACAACTGCAAAAGGCGATCGGTAAACGAGAAACGCGGGATCTTCTGTTGAATAAATATTTCGAATTTTCTTCACAGATTTTTAGACGATTCTTGTTGGATCGCGTTGATTTCTTTCAAATTTTTGCCGTAGTTCCAAAACATTTTTTATACTCGACCGTATAAGTAACCCTTTCAGCGTTTGTTAAAAATTAAAAAGTAGAATACGAAAAATATCTAGTTTTTTAATTGTTTATTTATGTTCCTAATTTAATTAATTTATATCTATATATATAATAATAATATATATTATAATATAATATATAATTATATATAATATTATATATAATATATATTAATTATTTTATATTCCTAATTAACGGTAATTTTGATAAATAAATTAATTAATATTAATATATAATATATTTATCATAATATATAAATTAATTCTTTTAATAATTTTGATGCATCGATAACGGTGTAACGATGCCATTAAATTCCTATGGTTTTTCAATTTTATATTTTAGCTACTCGTATTTGTACTATATTTTTATAACAATTACGAGACTGTCTCGGTACTCCATGATTGCTTGAAGAACCGAAACCCATATCATAAATCATAACTGTGTTCCGATTAATTTCCTCTTTCCGCCTTTGGCAAGCTGTCGAAATCAAGCGTCGCGTATAACCACAACGTCCATCGGCGAATGTTCTGTTTGTTCAAGCATTGAGCTATTTACAAGCAAGCCGTTGCTTTTATTTACTCTTTAAACAAAAATATTCCCAACTGTGATAAACAAGAAGCGATAGCAAGAACAAGCGCAAGTTGTACAGCAATAAAAAGCAGCCGAACCGTTGCGAGCAACATGCGCTGATAAAACTAACTAACTGTGTAATTACATTCTGAACAGAGTTTCTTTCGCAATTCCACACGAAAAATCGGCGAGGATCGCTGGACGATCTAGAGAACAATTTTAGGTTCATTGACGAAGAAGTTTCAGACCGATTAATACTCGAAAGGCGTGGCTCGGATCAATTTGGACCCAGAGCGTAAATATTGTTATATTATAATTATATAATAATAATTATATATTATAATTATATAATATATATTATAATATATTCATTATAATTTTCACATGTTTATCGAGGTCTACAGAAAAGTGACCATGTCCGGCAAAAGTACATTGAAAAAATTGATAAATAAAATTACAAACGATCCTTGACATACTCGGCAGAATTGAGCATTATTCGAATTGTCCCAAATGCATATGTAGTTATCGAAAATTAATAGTTATTCGAATGGATTCTTTCTAGTCGAGCTTTTTTAATCGAGTAACAATTATTCGTTATTCGTAACAAGGGTAGTTATGCATCAATGATCGATCTACCCAAAAGTAATAAACTTTGCGGAAGTTGAAACAAAAAGTTGATCGTAAAAATTGAAACGGACGAAATTGAACTATAAACTGTGGAAAAACATTATTACATTTTATAATTTGTATTCGAATCGATTATTTTCCGAATTAATTCCCGTACAAATAAATCCTTATTCGAATAACAAATAACTTCTTATTCGAATGAATTTTAATTCGATTCGATGATCTTCGTGTGTAATTTCTTTCTGAAATTTTTATCGGACCACATCAACCAAGTTTGCCATCTTCCGTCGAGCTACGCGCGACTCTTTCGATCGGCGCTGAAAGAGTTAACACGGCAGCCAGCGCCCGACTCGGTGAATTTGCTCTCTTGGATCCATCGAACCGATCCAAGTTTTTCCCTAAGCGAAAACATTCGTTATCGTACACATATTCGAGCTGTGCATTGTTCGACAATTAAACAGACAATCGACCATAAGCATGCGAAACAATCATTCGCGTTATTGCACGAGACAACCATTCAGCTACGTTTCTAAATACGGATAAAAAACGATCGAAGACAGCTCACCGTCATGCGGAGCGACGTAAGAAATGATATTTTCATGGAAATCGGCATACATTAGAGCAAGATACAAGTTTCGCCAGTACATCTGCGGAAAAGTTAAGAGATACAGTAATGTCTCTCCAATTGACGCTCGGATTGTCCACGAAAATGGACAATTTAGGGAGCGGAGATACGATTACTCGAGCCTTGCGGCTCGTTTTTATAGTTACGAATTGTCGACAACTATAAAGAACGAGCTACAAGGCTCGAATAATATAATATAATAATATATAATATTAATAATAATAATTAATATTATTATACAATATTAATAATAATAATTAATATTATTATATAATATTAATATTATATATATATAATATCGTATATAATAATCATATATAATAATATCTCCTCTTCCCAAATTATCCATTTTTGTGGACAATCTCAGCGTCAGTTAGGGAGACATTACTGTAGTGGTAATAACGAAGTTACGCGTCGACAGAGAGCTAAGTAGCTAAGCTAATAAGTTATCGTACAGTAGTAGCGGTCGTTCTGAGACAATGAATTTTCATTTCAGAGTGTGTGCCGAGGATTCGTTTCGTTGAAAGAACGTAAGAGTTTTGTTAGTCGTGGACGAGCCGATGTTTTTTTCATCGTCGGGATCCACGAGCGAATGTGAAGTTTAAGAATTGATAGAGCAATTCTGCTTTCGGATTCGTCTTTTCGATGATAAATACAAGGATCGCCCATTCGATGTTACAAACGAGAACGGAAAGTTAAAATTTATTGGGCAATGTTATTCGACAAAATCGTATATCGGAACGATCATTTGTCTTCCTATTGTGAACTTCGGATAATCGAATTCTACTATAGATAATTCTACTATACTCGAACGTTCCGCTTCAAGAAGAACACGCTGTATATGTAAATACGTACTGGATGCTCGTACACTATGTACTCCCTATCTAGCGTTTCTCTCGTAAAAGATATGCGTGTAAAAGAAACGAAAGAGCAGAAGCAGCATTGTTCTTTTTAAACGACATAATAACGCATAAAGTTTTGTGTTACCTGTGTATTATTTTTAGAGAAACGAAAGTGTCCTTCAATTTTTTAAATGGAATACTATACATCTGTTTTTTATATCTTGCGAAAGGGTGCATCAAGGTGAATGCAACGATGTACATACCATGGAACGACCTTCGGGCCTGTTACGTTGCGAAGGAAGCATCGCGAGGGAAGAAGGAAGATATCGATTAAAATGATTCCGTTGATTAACCATTTGCATTCGGAGAATTTTCTCGGACCGTCTACCAAAAACTCGAACGTATTTATTCGCGAAGCAGCGTGTAACGCTTTCGAGAAAATGTAACATGGTTGAACGTTGAACGAAACAATTACGTACACCGTTCGACGTTACGTTTACGGAGCTCTTGTTTAAAGTTTTAGCAAATGTGCAGAATGTTGTGTTCTAACGTCTTCGTTACTGTATATGTACTTAGCTGTTCCTTTTTACGTATTTTAATTTTATTATATGTATAGTACGATGTATAAGAAACCGTGTTATGTGTATAAAAACGGTAGCCGAAAAATTGTTATCGCTTCATAGAAATTCGTAATACAGTAGATTCCCTCTAATTGACGTGCTTGGAATCCTCAGCTTGGAATTCTGAGCTTGGAATCCTCAGCTTGAAATCCTGAGCTTGGAATTCTGAGCTTGAAATTTTGGGCTTGGAATCCTGAGCTTGGAATTCTGCACTTGAAATCCTGAGCTTGGAATTCTGGGCTTGGAATCCTGAGCTTGGAATTCTGAGTTTGAAATCCTGAGCTTGGAATCTTGAGCTTGGAATTCTGAGCTTAGAATTCTGAGCTTGGAATTCTGAGCTTGGAATCCTGAACTTGGAATTCTGAGCATGGAATCCTCCGCTTGGAATCCACAGCTTGGAATTCTGAACTTGGAATCCTCCGCTTGGAATCCTCAGCTTAGAAACAAAAATGGACAACTTGGGAAGACAAGGTACAATTATTCGAGCCTTGCGACTCGTTTCTATAGTTTCTGACACTATAGTTTCTATAAAAACGACCCGCAAGGCTCGAGTAATCGTATCTCCTCTTTCCAAATTACTCATATTTGTGTACAAGCTGTGGGTCAATTAGGGAGAATTTACTGCATACAGAAATTTACTGGATATCCTAAAATTACAATGCTGTCAATTGCGAAGTTTAGGGCAAATAGGAGTCTTCCTAATTCCAGCGTAAGACGATCTCGCAGATGTTTTAGCGCTAACTAACAATTATCGTACGAGGCAACCTTGCACAGACAATTTCTCAGTCGTAAGCATAAATGGGGCAGACTGCGGATCTTCGTGCACTTTCATAGAGTACTTCTTGAAAATTACATTGCGAGACATGCGGAAAATTTCATCGGAACAATTAAAAATCATGAAAATAATAGCTTCTCACAACTTTCGACACCGATAATTAAACAGAAAAAAAATCTGTAGGTTCTTACATCTTTCAATGTAGCTTTGCTTCCGCGTCGACCGATTTCAATGAAATTTTCGATGCGTCGCCGAGATCTACAAAGTACATTGTCTAAATTTCAGTTATATTATATAGTTTCTTTTTTTTTGCCATTCCAAGCTATTACAGTTTATGCAAAAATGTTTTCCAGTTATTACGTAGTTAACCGAATCTTCTAACATGCCAAACAAAAAAATTCAAGTCAATCGATTCAATTTTAAACAAGTTACACCCTTTCAAAAATTATTCCGATATTTTCGTGGGCTACTGCATGTATCGAACGGAAGACCAACTTTTGTGCAGAATATGTTTGCGAGAATATCTACAAATGCCAAGAAATAGTGGTTAACTTTATCAGAGGTGATCCGCGTGAAATGTGAGAAGCCATTTCCTTGGAAATTATAGCAGGTACGCGAGATTTTTTGTCCGAACTGCAAAGGAGGGCAAGACAAATTTTATTTCTATGTATGTATAGTAATGTCTCTCTAATTGACGCCCAGATTGACCATAAAAATGGACAATTTGGGAAGAGGAGATACGATTATTCGAGCCTTGCGGTTTATTTTTATAGTTATAAATTGTCCACAATTATAAATCGAGCCGCAAGGCTCGAACAATCGTATCTCCTCTTCCCAAATAATCCATTTTAGTGGACAATCTGAGCGTCGGTAAGGGAGACATTACTGTAGTTTTTTGGAATTGCTGCTTTTCAAGAGGACAAATATTTGGAGGTACCAGATTTGTCATTGTCAAATGTAAGGATTTAGCTTAGTTTCGATACCGACCTCTACCCTTCGCACATCTCCATGGCCTTATCGATGCAGACCCACGACGAAGCCCACTTTTCCTTGTCTCCTCGTTTCTATCTCATTCCTAGATCCGCCGAATATGTACAACTGCGAGAAAACCGGATACAGTAATGTCTCTCTAATTGACGCCCAGATCGCGCACAAAAATTGACAATTTGCGAAGAGGAAATACGATTATTCGAGCCTTCGAAATTTTTAACCGTAAATCGTACACTTGCGGAAATTGTAAAATCATCCCCAGAAGATATAGATATAGATATATAGATATATCGAGATAGCTCCCATAAAAATAGATTAACATTTTCTCGAAACAGTTTACGGTATTCTGCAGAATCTAAACAGACTTATTTTATCTTCCCATTATTGCTCGTTCTTCGATCTCCAACGTGATCAAAAAACGTCGGCGAGTATCGCTCTATTATCAGTGATATCAAGGGATTCGATAATCGAGTAGCTTTAATAGAAAACAAAAGTGTATCATCGGCGAAGCTTATGCTACTGATCGACGAACATCGTCGACTGTCCTATTTAGTAACGCTTATCGCGTTTTGTTATTCGACTTGAGATTGTTCCAGCAGATTTTTCGTACACGGCTGTGAACCATTAATTGCAAGTTCCAACGATAGCCGATGTTTAGACTGCGGATTTTATGCGTTTATAGGAACGACGAGTAGCCGATATATGAGCCGTTTATTTTGAAAGTGGCGCATAAGTCACTTTACCGTAATGAAAAGTGGTGATTTTTTAATGTTTATACGAAATTATTTATACCGAGGAAAATATCAGTATCCTGAGATAACAAATACAAGTAAATCTTCTCGAAAGTTTGCATCCATATTTTTAAACGTGTTGAAACACAAACCCTTAAATATATCGACTTAAAAACAAAGTGACTTATGCCACTTTCAAAATAAACGACTCATATATCGGCTACTAATAATATATATATATATATATATAATATTATTATTATTATTATTATATATATATATTATATATATAATGTATAAACATTAAACATATAATGTATAAAATTGCGAAGACGGAAGAACTCGTCGAAAGTTATTAGAAGAAACAATTTATTCCGCGTAAAGATCTGCGGTCGTCTGCCGATGTCATATCCTAAAGGATCTCGTCCGAGTCACTCCGTCGGAATGAAATTCAATTTCTACGATCGTTCGTAGCCGCGGCCTTCGCTTTGGCAATATTGACGACGTCTCGTAAACTATCGACGATACAAAGGATTCTTTTAAATGGATGTTAAACGATGCGAACTTGTACTTGCTGCCGAAGCCGGACTCCGTTTTCCATTGTTCGTCGAAGCGATAAAACGGTCAAGTTTCGTTTGTTGAAGAACGGAATTTCTTATCGAATTATTTCAAAACGCGTTTCGGTGTCGATCCGATAACCGGATCGCGGATTTTATCCGCTTCTAAGGAAAATGTACCGATGAAATGCAATTCTGTGCGCACTTTTTAAGACGATCAACCCCTTGCCGTACCATTTTCTCCGCAATTTCAACGATTAAAACATCTTCGATCGCGATAACTTCTTCGAAGAAAAGGAAACTTTTATTTTCCGCGTGTCTACATTTACCTCGGCGTTTAAATATCGATCATGAGCGAATAGAATCTTATAATCCGGATTAACCCTTTGCACTCGAAGCTATTTTAACTGTAAATATAAGATTATTTTTCTAACTTATAGTGTTTTTATTTTATACGGCAAAATGCATTTTATGCGTATGAAATTGACTCTTGGGAGTCACGCAACA